CTGTTTTGGGTGTGAGTGTGTGAGTGTCAATGTCAGTGTGCGGGTGTGAGTGTGAGTGTGAGTGCGTGTGAGTGTGAGTTTGTAGGTGTGAGTGTTAGTGTGTGAGGGTAAGTGTGAGTGTGAGAGTGAGTTTGTGAGTGTGTGTGTCAATGTCAGTGAGTGAGTGTGAGTGTAGGTGTGAGAGTGAGTTTGTGAGTGTGTGAGTGTCAATGACAGTGTGTGAGTGTCAATGACAGTGTGTGAATATCAGCGTCAGTGTGTGTGTGTGAGTGCCAGTGTCAATGTCAGTGTTAGTGTGTGAGTGTGAGGTTCGCTGCCTGTAACTCGTGTTGTTATGTAAAAGAAAACGGAACAAAAAACTAACCCACTGCCCCGGTTGGACAGTTAGTGTAATTACTGTATATGGCGGTGCAGGCCGGGTGGGCAGCTAATCCCTAATCACGCTCCTCCATAAGCGTAAGATAATCCTGAATGACTTTGTCGTAAATCTTAGTGACTGCTGAGATTACTGTTGTGTCCGAGGGAATCAGCGCAGATGAATGAGAATTACCTGAGGATCAAATGGAATTAAAACAAGAAATGAAAAAAAAGTAACAAAACCACACGTATGTAACAATGTAATATTTACTTTTCTCTCTTCTATGGAATGGTGATAATTGGAGGTGCATCAGTTACCGCTATGAATACCTGTCCAGGTTGACTCACTGACAATGATTCACTCACTTACTCAATCATTTAGAGAACTTTTTGCTAAGCTGTGACTTATCATGTTTATACTGTACAAGCAGTATGGTTAAGTTGCTGCCAGATGCATGATGTTTACTGCAGTGATACTCCCTATTTTGCTTCACATTTTAACCTTCATTATACAAACAAATTATTCTATTAATATTCTAAGACTAGTCGCTTCATCACTACAGCTACAGGAAATAAGAAATAATCATCTACCAGTACGATATGCTCAGCATATGGTTCCTCTGCCTGACGCTCGTATACAGTACAATGGTGTGTGTGAGCGAGTACGTGCTGGCGCTGACGCAGCTTATAATCTGATCTTGGTAGATTATAAAGGTGTTCCTCGGTGGTTTATCATTGTTTCTTTAGCAAAATACGAGTAACACAAGAACATCCTGGGCATATGTTTCTATACTGTGTTGGTGGTGACAGTGTTAGGAGGACATTACTAACTTGTTCAGTGTGTCGGCGACCTTTGGTGCTCACATAACAGCCTCCAACACCCACAACAACTACACGGGAACAGTGACCACCGGGACAGAACTCACAATAACGAACACCAACACTCACAACAACACACCACCCCAACTTGCGCACAAACTCGGCTCGAGGACGTACAGGTCGAGCTAGTTTTACACTACATTTCGCTAATTGGATTCTCAGTTAACGAACTGTAATGGCAGTTCCGACTCAGAGAGGATAACTCGCAGAGTGAGGAGGACTTCCTGTAATATCACGAGATGTACGGCTCAGTTTATTTCAAGTCTGGGTGATGCAGTGTGAGTGTCGTGATATTAGGTGACCGTGTCCTCTATTGCCTCAAGTATGGTTCTGCTTTTCGTTTCATATTTTGCATGTGGTTAATTTTTTTTTCATTATAAAAAACCCACAGAGTTTTCACTGCCTTCACTATCAAATACAGACCAGAGTTTTCACTGTCGGCTGGGTGTCAGGTAATAACGTGTTAATGAGGCAATGGGGCAATAGTCCAGATATTATTCACTAAGCTCTTGACACTACCTTACTTGGGGTATAAAGTCGAGTGTATTGTGTCAATCCTTAATCCCTGGGCGGTAACACAAGCTGGTGTACGAGTATAGTGTAGTGTAGTGGTGCAGTGTGTGTGTGTGTGTGTGTGTGTGTGTGTGTGTGTGTGTGTGTGTGAGTGTAATAATCAAAATAATAGTAATAAACGGTTTATTAATAGAGTTGCAGCCGGTGGCTGAGAATATACAACTTACATGTGATGTAGACATAAAATACGTTCAATACATTTACAGGGCTGTACAGTACATAAATCAGGAGCTGTTTATTATTTTAACAATAGATGGGATGGTGCTATTCTTATATCTATCAGTGCGGGCTCTTATGGGCGGAATTTTGTTGTAGTGGCGAACTGTGTGTGTGTGTGTGTAATAATAATAATAATAATAATTAACGGTTTATTGAAAGAGCTTGGCAGCCAGAAGGCTGAAAATATACAGTTACATATTTGGGGAATGGGTTACGAATTACAAATAATACACAAGTGACATAAGTGACACAAATAAGACATATAGTAACTTAGATGGGGATCAGCTCAAACTACAGTTCATTTCAACATAGTGACAGTGTAGGGAGCAGTGTTTACTGGGAGTGAATACACTGATTTATTACATGTTATTGATAATTTTTACAATGGTTGGGACTGGGCTGTTCTTATAGCGATCAGTTCGTGCACGTATGGGCTGGATGCGGTTGTGGTGTCGAACAGCAATTCTCGGACAGGGGATCTCAGGTGGTAGTAGGGGCCGGTGTCGGGGATGGTGTAGAAGCTTCTTACCAAATTTGCAGATGAGGCCGTGGTGATGGTCAGTGAGAGTCGAAAGGGTCAGTGTGTTGAGCGCTTCTTGATATGTGGAGTAGGAAGGGGAGAGAATAATCTTGCATGTGTGTGTGTGTGTGTGTGTGTGTGTGTGTGTGTGTGTGTGTGTGTGTGTGTGTAATTAACGGTTTATTGAGCAAGTCAAGCAGCCCGAAGGCTGAAAATATACATTGGACAAAAATAACTTATTACATACAAAGACATGAGGTGGGTGGGTCGTTTAACAAAGCTTTCGTTATTGAAAGAAGAAGGAACATGAATTAAACATACAAATTATTATAGTTTATAGTTGATGGCCCGGGCCTGGGCTGGTCATGGGGACACCGAGTGGTGTGGTGTTCACGTGGTGTAGTAACTCGTCCCCGGGTGTTGATACGAAGGACCTCACGTGGTCATGGAGACATCGGGTGGCGTGGTGTTCACATGGTGTAGTAACTCGTCTGTAGGTGTTGATATGAAGGACTTCACGTGGTCATGGGGACACCGTGTGGTGTGGTGTTCACGTGGTGGAGTAACTCGTCCTCGGGTGTTGAAATGAAGGACCTCACGTGGTCATGGAGACACCGTGTGGTGTGGGGTGGTGTCACAGTACCTCACTCTCTCTGTTGGGTGATGTGTTATCTCGTAGTCAGGTGCACAACCGGCCCTCTGTTGTTCCCAGGGTGGACGTTTAACACCGTCTGGCCAAAGGATGGTTCTCAGGGGTGCTTATCTCACTGGTGGGTCACGGCTCTCACTGGTACTGTCTAGTGCTGAATTCACAGGCTTACATACTGTTCATCACTGTTCAACACTGGTCCCACTTCTTTCCGAAACGAAATTGTCACTTTTGATTATGTAGATATCCAGGTGGTGAAGATGGGTCGAGGAGAGAGAATTCAGGGATGGGCCGACATGGCCAAGGGGGAGGGGGGCCTCTGCTCAGCAGGAGGAGCGCTAGAATAGGTCTTTACCCTACGGTGGTCAAGGATGTAGTGTGTGTAATAATAATAATAATAATAAACGGTTTATTAATAGAGGTGCAGCTGGTGGCTGAAAATATACAGACTTACATTTGATTTAGACATAATGATATAATATGCATTGAATACATTTACAGGGCTGTACAGTACATAAATCAGGAGTTGTTTATCATTTTAACAATAGATGGGATGGTGCTGTTCTTATATCTATCGGTGCGGGCTCTTATGGGCTGAATTTTGTTGTAGTGGCGGACTGCGCGAGTTGGGTGGGGGGCTGCAGGTGGCAGGAGGTGGCGATGGCGAGGGTGGTGCAGTAGTCCACTGCCAAACCTTTCCAGTGCTTGGTGGTGGAGGTCACTGTGTTTGTGTGTGTGTGTGTGTGTGTGTGTGTGTGTGTGTGTGTGTGTGTGATAGCGACTATGTTATTGCTTCTCCGTGCAGCTTCTCAGGAGGAGGATACAGTGCACATGTGATAATTATTTCTAGTTAATTAAAAGCATTGACATTATTACTGACCTTTTGAGCATGATTAATTAACCCCTTGAGTGCTATGCATTAACCCCTTGAATACTATTAATTAACCCTTGAGTACGATGAATTAGCCCTTTGAGTCTGATGAATTAACCCCTTGAGTGCTATGCATTAACCCCTTGAGTACTATTAATTAACCCTTGAGTACGATGAATTAGCCCTTTGAGTCTGATGAATTAACCCCTTGAGTAAGATGAATTAACCCCTTTATTACGATGAATTAGCCCTTTGAGTCTGATGAATTAACCCCTTGAGTACGAGGAATTAACCTCTTGATTACGATGAATTAGCCCCTTGAGTACGATGAATTAACCCCTTTATTACGATGAATTAGCCCCTTGAGTACGATGAATTAACCCCATTATTACGATGAATTAGCCCCTTGAGTACGATGAATTAGCCCCTTGAGCACGATGAATTAAACCCTTGAGTACGATGAATTAGCCCCTTGAGTACGATGAATTAGCCCCTTGAGTACGATGAATTAAACCCTTGAGTACTATGAATTAGCCCCTTGAGTACGATGAATTAGCCCCTTGAGTACGATGAATTAAACCCTTGAGTACGATGAATTAGCCCCTTAATTACGATGAATCAGCCTCTTGAGTACGATGAATTAACCCCTTGAGTACGATGAATTAGCCCCTTGAGTACGATGAATTAAACCCTTGAGTACGATGAATTAGCCCCTTAATTACGATGAATCAGCCTCTTGAGTACGATGAATTAACCCCTTGAGTACGATGAATTAGCCCCTTGAGTACGATGAATTAGCCCCTTGAGTACGATGAATTAACTTCTTAGGTTCCCCATCACTTGTGTCTCTCATCATTGACACACATTATTACTGAAGCCAAGAAGAAGGTATTGAAACGTATGAGAACAGCGAAGTAAGAGAGAGTTCTCACATTCCTGGTATACTGACGTCCATCGCGCCCTGAAGCTCTGCTACCTTGGTGATGAACGTAAAGAATCATAGTAAAAGTTTTAAATAATTTCTTATCAACTGTAGTAAAAAATGACCAACCCGATTTTGTCAACAAATTAATGACACTGTGGATGGCATCAGAGATCAACTCGATTTCCTGATTGGTGATTGGTTGTCTGAACAACTGGCTAGCCAATCAGCGCTTTTGTTTATCTCGGTTCTTTGATGTTCGCGTTCGATTCCGAGAGAAAAAAATCTTTGGTCATTAATTTATTGTTCAACTCTCGTAAACATTGAATTTATATACCATTCGCAATATAACGTCAAGAGAAAGAGAGTTTAAAAATGTTAGCACACTAGTAAATACTTTTCATCATGGTATATGTTCGTTTCTGCAGACCAAAAATTTCACAGCGTGGAATATTACTGGGCTGATGCTTAGGTAGACTGTGTATGTGATGCTGTTTGCTGCATATTCTGTTTCTCAGGCATAATTGGCAACCTGGTGTCAGCTACCTCTGTGTGTGTGTGTGTGTGTGTGTGAGAGAGAGAGAGAGAGAGAGAGAGAGTGGAGGTAGGGAGAGTTAGGAGAAGCAAGGGTGGAGGTGGAGGGAGATGGAAGGGGCAAGGAGTTAGGGGAGGCAAAGGGGCTAAGGGGAGGTAGAGGGAAGGGAGAGGGTAGGAGTTGGGGAGGTAGGGGAATGAGTGAAGTGTAGGAGTTAGGGAAAATAGGAGGTGGGGAGAGGGTAGAAGTTGGGGAGGTAGGAGGTGGGGAGGGGGAAGGAGTGAGGGAGGTAGGGGGAGGTAGAGATTGAGAGTATGAGTGATGGTTGGTTGAGCCTGGAATTAAAAGTGATGAGAGACTGGTGGCAGGGGCTGGTGGTAGGGGCTGGCGGCAGGGCTGGTGGCAGGGGCTGGTGGTAGGGGCTGATGGTAGGGGCTGGTGGCAGGGGCTGGTGACAGGGGCTGGTGGTATCCTCCATCCCTGGATGAGGTAGCTACCGCTATCAAACAGATGAAAAATAACAAAGCCTCAGGGCCTGATGGAATCCCAGCCGAGGTGTATAAAGCAGGAGGACCTCTGCTTATCAGCCGTCTCCACTCTCTCCTGGAGAATATATGGGAAAAGGAGGAAATCCCCCAAGCTCTTAAAGACGCCTTAATTGTCAATATTTATAAGAACAAGGGGAACCGGTCAGACTATGGCAACTACCGTAGGATCTCGCTGCTCTCCGTAGCTGGCAAGATTATCGCCCGAGTCCTCCTAAACAGACTTCTTCCTGAGGCGGAAAACTTCCTCCCAGAATCTCAATGTGGTTTTAGACTATCATGTGGCACCACTGACATGATATTTGCTGCCCGCCAGATACAGGAAAAGTGCAGAGAACAGCGTCGTGACCTGTACATGGCCTTCATCGACCTAACCAAGGCCTTCGACTCGGTCAACAGGGAAGCCCTCTGGTGGACCCTCAGTCGTTTTGGCTGCCCACCAAAATTCATCGCCATTGTGAGGCAACTCCACGATTGCATAAACGGCAGTGTTCTACACAACGGCACCCAGTCTGAGTTTTTCCCCATCCAAACGGGGGTTAAACAAGGGTGTGTACTGGCAACAACTCTCTTTTCCATCTTCTTGGCTGCCTTCCGTACTCGTGCCAGTGCTAATTTAGCCAGCGGGGTGAACATCGAGTACTGGGTGAAGGGGGTCTTTTCAACATAAGACGACTCCAGGCAAGAACAAAGGTGTCGGCAGCTTCCATTACTGAGCTTCAGTATGCAGACGACCTCACCCTTGTTGCTCACACTGAACACAACCTACAGGAGGTCCTGAATACCTATGCAGACGCGTATGCACACTTCGGCCTTGAGGTGAATGGACGTAAGACTCAGATTCTCTTTCAACCTGCCCCTGGTTTAGACACACCTCTACCTTCCATCCAGCTTAACGGTACTGCCCTCTCTAATGTTGACCACTTTCGGTATCTCGGCTCCCACCTGTCCACCACCGCAAACATCGATGAAGAGTTTCATCATAGGATCAGATGTGCATCTCAAGCCTTGGGCGGACTCCGAAATAGTGTCTTCAGCTGTAGGGAGCTTAAATTATCCATAAAGCTGCACGTATATCGAGCAGTGGTCCTGCCCACCCTACTATACGGCAGTGAGACATGGGTCACGTACAGGAGGCACCTCAAGGCACTTGAAAACTTTCACCAACGTAGTCTACGTTCCATCCTCCGAGTTCGCTGGGAAGACAAGAGAACAAATGCCAGTATTCTTGCTGACACCAACTGTAGGAGCATCGAGGCGACCATTATCCATGAACAACTACGTTGGACTGGCCATTACATGTTACCCGCATGGACGATAGTGGACTGCCAAAGCAGCTACTTTACAGTCACCTAACGAATAGTATACGTACCGCTGGCGGACAATTGAAAAGGTATAAGGATAGTCTTAAGACAAACCTGAAAAGGTGCCAAATCGACTCCCTCACCTGGGAGTCGATTACTTCACATCGTAACTCTTGGAGAAGCACTACAAGAGAAGGTGTCAATACTTTCGAGTTAGCCCGACTTCAAACCGAGGCAGACAAGCGCCAACGTCGGAAAGACGCTGCCACCGCCCCTCCCACAGTAGATGGAGCCCTCCACATGTGCAACGAATGTGGACGACGCTGCAGGTCCCGTATCGGCCTCTCTAGTCACCTCAAAACTCACCAACCTAGGTGACATCCCTTATAACTCATATCATTGTATCATAACTGGATGATCGTCATACTCGATTCCGAGTGACAGCAAAGTAGTAGTTGTGGTCTTTGTATTGTGTGTGTTTGCTTGGTTTGTTTGTTGTGTATGTTTAGCGAGTGTGTTACGTGTGTTTGGTTGAAATATTTTGCGTGTGTTGTGTTTTTTTATGGATTATATGTGTTTGTGTGATTATTTTTATGCGTAAATATTTACAGGTAGCGTATGTGTGTGTGTGGGGGGGGGTTCATGTCTTGTGTGTTTATATAAGTATTTGTATAGTTATGTGTTACGTGTGTATGTTTGTTAATTTCCCTGTGTGCATATGTTTTTTACTGTAAGTGCACGTAATGTGAATATATTTATGCGTGAGCGTGTTGGAGGCTGGTGTGTGGGCCGTTGTCGGAGGCTGGCGTGTGGGCCGTTGTCGGAGGCTGGCGTGTGGGCCGTTGTCGGAGGCTGGCGTGTGGGCGGCTGTTGGAGGCTGGCCTGTGGGTGTATTGGAGGCTGATGTGTAGGCGTGTTGGAGGCTGGTGTCTAGGCGTGTTGGAGGGTGACGTGTAGTTTATATATTACCCTCCTTTAATTAACTTAAGCCAGCGTCGGCAGCAACAGTGACGGTGCTGAGGGAGGAGTAAGAGGAGGAGGAGGGGAAGTGGAGAGAAGAGAGATGGGGGGAGGAGAGGGAATGGGGAAGGAAGAGAAGAGAGGTGGTGGGAGGAGGAGGGGGAAGAGAGATGGGGGGGGAGGAAGAGGGAAGAGAAGAAAGATTCAGGATGGAGGAGGGGTAGGGAAGAGAAGAGAGATGGGGAGAGGGAGGAAGGGGAGGGGAGGGCGAGCAACACCAGGTAAACCAGTTACTTCATCATCCTCATTAATATGTATTACCTGTCCATCAGTCACTCTCCCACTTCGCTCGCTGTTCACTTTTCACAGGTAAATCTTACCATCAGATCACTAGGTGTTTTTAACTGGCCATCAAGTGTTTACATAACGTCACTTAAGGAAGGAGTTGCCTCTCGCCATAAAATCTAAGAAGACACGTGAACTTCTCAACGTGATTCCCTCACACATTTCTATATTGCTCCGTGTGAACATTGTATAGCTCTTTTCGTTTGATAGTTTTACTGTGTACACACTAAGAAAAATTCATAGCTAATAAGATCGAGTATGGAAAAAATTAATAATTTATCCGGCGTCTCCTCACCACATACAGATACAGACGGCAGCAGCAGCACTCCTTACGGTGAGCAACAACACACAGGTTTTTCAAACTCTAATGCAGCTGTGATGATAATAATTCTTTTACAACACAATTCATATTTCCAAGCTCACTGTGGCATCATTCAGAACCAGGACTGTGTAATGCAAAACCTCAACACAAGATAGCCACATTGGAAAGAGTAATGTGTGTGTGTGTGTGTGTGTGTGTGTGTGTGTGTGTGTGTGTGTGTGTGTGTGTGTGTGTGTGTGTGTGTGTGTGTGTGAGAGTTTTACTTCTTGAAGATATGAAAATAAGTCTGGACTGGATGGAATTTGGTTTATCCGTTCCTCCCGGCGGGGGATATATATCAGAGGCTGGCAACATCCGTGAAGCCGCCGTGGAGGTTCTCTGGCTTCTTCAGCTTTGTGTAAGGAGGGAAAAACTTTCACATCGTCAACAGCAGGAGTCTCGTACCTCCCTCACTCCCTCATTCCTCACTTCCTCCCTCCCTATTTCTCTATTTCATTCCTTCCCTCCTCTACTCCCTCCCTCCTTTACTCCCTCCCTCACACTGAGAGTGCATTTTTAGTAGTGAGATTATCTTGTGTGCTTTATGCCCCTCTGGTTCTCGCCGCGTGTCATCCGTGTAAACTTTGGCATCAGTTATCCACCGCCCGACCACATGCTGAGTCCTCATCCACACACTCACCCCAGTCCTCGAATCACACTTAAACGAATCATATTGACTTACGGAATCACACTGACTTACAGGAGTACTTAACTGAATTGCACTGTCACAGGTATTCACACTTGCGTGCAGTAAATCTATGACTTATACTGACTTAAGGACTTAAAGTGACTTCCGGACTCACACTGAAACAGAGACTCACGCTGACACAGAGACTCACACTGACACAGAGACTCACGCTGACACAGAGACTCACACTGACACAGAGACTCACACTGACACAGAGACTCTCATCAACACAGAGACTCACACTGACACAGAGACTCACACTGACACAGAGGCTCACACTGACACACAGACTCAC